TAAATGCGGCTTGTAATTCTTAATGCGACATATTTGAAGAATTCTCATATTTAGAGTGACGTACCTGCTTTTTCTTATTTTTCTGATGTGCGGAAAGGCATAGGTTCACGAACTTTCTTCATCACTAGAGCTTTCATCAGAGGAGAAGGAGTCGTTATCGCTTTCCCAAGCTATATACGCTCTTCTTGGTTTTAACGAATTCTTGTGTGATTTAATAGATTCTTCTTTTCCCGTTTTGTTCAAAGGACAATCGGGCTTGTAGTGACCGGGCTTTCCGCATTTATAGCAAGAATCCTCTGGTTTTACTTCCTTTGGTGTCGCTATTTCGAGAGTTCCTTGATTGTTTTCTGAAGTTGACAAGGTTCTTTTCTGAGTGTTGAATGTCGTTCTTTCTCACATACCGATTATATCGTTTTACAAACAGCCCCATATCCTCAACCTTGTCCTCTTCTTCATCGTCACTAGATGAATAATCACTTTGCTCCTTGGATTAAGACTTTGAGGAAGAAGTCTTGAGAGCGATTGATTTCTTCTCAACATTCTTTGTTTTATCCTTCTTTTCTTTCTTTTCATGCTGGTCAAGGCTTAGGAGCACTTGTTCGTGCTCTTGTAGTTTTCCAAATAACGTTGTTAGGTCCAAAATAGTAAGATCGTTTGCTTCTTTTATGGTGGTCACCTTGGGCTGCCATTCCCTATTTAAACATCTTAAAATTTTATTAGTAGCAACGCCATTGGCCACCGGCCTACCAAGTGAATGTAACCTATTGATGAGATGAGTAAACCTTTTCTGCATGTCCGCAATGGTTTCCCCTTGCTCCATGTAGAAAAGGTCAAACTCTTGTGTTAGTGTATTGATTCTAGCTAACTTCACATCGTTTGTCCCCTCATGAGCGATTTGGAGTGCATCCCACATGTCTTTCGCCGTAGGGCAATGAGACACACGGTAATACTCATCAACTCCTAATGAGGATATTAAGATGTTTTTAGCTTTCCAATCATAATTGTATTTCTTTTCATCATCTTCAGTCCATTGTGCTTCGGGCTTAGGCACAACCACATTATCCGCATTGGTCATAGTAATTTCTATTGGACCATTGAGGATAACATTCCATATTTTTCTATCTATGGAGTTTATGTGCACCCGCATACAATCCTTCCAATAACCGTAATTTTCACCGTTAAAAACGGGAGATCTATTATAAGCCCCTTTAGGTTCGTTTGCCATTATCTATCAAAGTTATACTTGAAGCACGGAGTGAACCGGTGCTCCTGATACCACTTGTTAGACGATGACTAGGATCTAGAAGGGGGGTTGAATAGATCCCAATTAAAATTTGATTCGGCGCTTACCAATTTAAAATTGGTTTTAAAAAATGTTTTTAAAATGCGGAAGCGGCCTTGGAAAAAACTCGTCTAAAACGAACCGTTATTGGAGGATCGGATATGCGTTAAGCTAATGGATATGATAATAAAAGAAAAAGTATATTCAATACACTAGTCACACTAATTAATTGATTTCACACAATTTAGTAGAGCTAGTTCCAATGTTCAACACAACCCACCAAAATATAGCAAGTAAACTAAGTAAGTTTTAGTTCAGACAATTTATCGAACACTTGGTGTGCAAAACACTTCAAGTGAATTTTTGATTTAAGCGAGTAACTTTAAAATCCTTATACAATTGTTTATTGTACACAAGTTCAAAACAGTTCTAGTTACTCACTAAATGCAATGCTCGAATCAATAAAATTGCTTAAACTAAAATCACTTAATTTTTAAGCTGAAATTGAAAATGCTGAAAAATGAAGAACACAAAGATTTGTTGAGGCAGTTCCCCCGTCGTCCTCGCTTCGGGGTACGTCTGCCCTCAATTCTAAAACTAGAATTGAGATGATTTATAATAGATATCACCTGAAAGTTTGTAGTAGTTTATACAAGAGTTGATAAGCAATAATGCAAACAATCCCTATAGATGTTGATGTTGCTATCACTTCTTGCTCCTTGATTCGAGTTGAATCAAGACCTCCGATCGTTGTGAATTGACCTCCGATTCCAGCCCCTTTGTTGAATACCTTTCAGTTCTTCAAACCCTCAGCCCGACTGATCTTTAGACACCAACGAATCGAACCCGGAACTCCCTTCAACACTTCACAACCCCAGCTACTAGATTGATGAAAAACGTTTCTCAATCACCTTCGCACCGCTGAATGTTGATGGAGAATTTCCGTACCAAAAACCCCCAAAATTCGTAGAATCTTGGAGGGCAAAACCTTCAAGGTTTTATTCAAGAAAAACCTGCCACAAGTCTCCACCCGAACCGGACTTTCCCTCAACGGATTCGAACCTTATCACCTTGAACAAGACACAAAGCACTCAAAAAATGGTTGTGTGTAGTTGACGTGTTGTGTGTTGTTTGAGGATGAAGATGAAGAGAAATGTAGCACATATTTCACTTTTCTTGTTTTCACAATATACTCAAAAATGTAATTGTTAGTTGATAAAAATAAACAAACTTCTATTTATAGTAGTAAGACAAATAACTAACACAACAGGATTTCAAACAGTGAAAAAAATACTTAACAACGCGCGAACGGTCGACCACAACAGGTTCATGCATCGACGCATGACCTGCAGATTTCAGTAATATTAAAAACTCAACAGTATGCGTCGACCATAGGTCGGCGCGCGCTGACCCGTGAGAATTGTGAAGGCTTCATGCGCCGACTGATAGTCGACTCATGGTGTCCATGCGCTGACCAGTGGAAAAATTGACTGGATGTGCGCTGACTGGTATGGTCGACTTAGAGCTGTAAAACCTGCAAAAATTCATCATTTGTTGCTTCGTGCGTTTCGTCACGACTGAATATTTATCACGTGTTTTGCAAATGATTATATGATGAATTAAAGAAATATAGGAAGGATATGATATGTTAAATATTGCAATTGTCTTTTGGGCGAAATTGACAGCTCCTTATTGATCCGAGGTTGAACTTTGTCATCATCGAAACTTGAGAATATATGTTGTGTGACTGCTTGCCCTCACAGTAGCTTTATGGGTGACATCTTTCTTCTTCATTGTCAGATTTCCCTTATAACATTCTTGTGCGATTTCCTGGTCTCCTCGAACCATTTTGACTTGTCCGTTAGGTAACATGTATTTCAGAATCAAGTATTGGATGGATAGAATCGGCTCTAACAAATTGATGGTTGGCCTCCCAAGGATGATGTTATAAGGCGATAGGTCATCCACAACGAGGTAATTGAGTTTAATCGCCTTGAAATCTGCTCTTGTGCCACAGGTTATTTCAAAGGTTATGTGACCCCTTACTCATACATGTTCGCTTGACGTACCCACTAGTAAGCTCTGGAATTCTTTAATTCTTCCAAGATAGAGTAGGAGCTTCTGGAAAGTGCTCTAAAACAGGATGTATATCGAGCTTCTAGGATCTATCAAGATTCATTTTACAACGCAATTATCGTATTGCACAGTGATAATCATGGGGTCGTTATCGTGAGGGTATACGCCAATGGCGTCTCTGCTAGAGAAAATGATTTTGGGCATTTTCCCTCTCTGTGTGGCTTTGGAGAGGTTGGGGGTATTATGCCTACATCTAACACTTTCCTGACATGTTTTCTCTGAGAGGAGTTGGAATTTCCCCCTCTGGAGAACCTTCTAGCAATGGTGTTGATTGTGACACCTGGGTCTTTCTTTGGCATTTTCAAAAGAAAACGGTGAAAGTGGTGGTAATATAAGGTATGGCTCATGTTAGTTTCACCGGGGCGCCACTGTACTTGCTAAAATAGATGCGTAGCAACCCTTAACTAGCAAGAATTACCAGAGGATCTAGTATTTATGTGGTGTTATAGCAAGCTCACGAGGGTGAAAACCTTTGTTATAAGGGTTTTTTCATGAATATGAGATTGATGACTCAATTATAAGATTGGGGTATTTATAGGGGCTCATGGGTCTGGATTTAGGGTTCCTTGGACGTAGCATCTGCTAGTAAAAAGGGGAGTGGACTGTTGATTCTCTATTTTCTAGGGAAACATGGGTTATTCCCCATACTATTTTTTATGCACTACTTATGACCAAAACACGTCACTTTCCCATGTTCTTCTACTCTGGACGAATAACACAGATCGTAGACGATATCATCATATCTCCCCTTACGAATCCTTACAAATATATCATTTCATACACATTTATACATTTAACATTTTGAAAATCTTAATATATATGAAAAATCTAATACATCTTTATTATGTATTAATCCTTCATCTTAGTGGTAGTAGAATTTGGTTTGGTTAAGTGGGAGAATGTAAGTAAGTCTTCTTAAAAGTGTAGTCGGAAGACATGACAAGGTTGGTGCAAGTGTAACAATGTTATAAGAAAACCAAAAAATAAAAATATAGAAGTTTTGGTTTTAAATTTAATAGTTATTTATTTCTATACAAATTTTCCCAAACTAGTTAGGTTTTGTTTCTCTATGACCAATTTAAGAAAAACACATACCAACTTTGACATATGATTTTCTTTTTCATTGATATGATAAATCATGTGCATGAAATTTAGCACCTTATCATAAAGTTGAATTCTCATTTGCTAAAGATATATTAATTAATAGTGAAGCAAAATTCTTCATTCTCACCTATCCAATACGACAACGACAAGTTAAAGATTCTTCCATTAAAATGTGACATGAAAATTGATACGTTATAAACATCAAGCATTCTATACACAATATAGTATCCAACATGTTCCCCTTAACAATTTTGAATAATTACAAATTTGATACTTTAAATAGACACCTTTTCTCAAAATAGCCAAAACATGCATGGAACCTTTCTTTATTCTTCTAAAACCAAGCCAAGTTCATTATCTTCCTTTCTAAATATTCTTATGTTATGGTTGTGCCTATAAATTACTTCAAAAACTCACTTCCCAAATATATTAGAGCATATTTTTCTTATATTTGTAAAACTAATTGTGGTTGATTATAATGTCTAGGCAATTAGAACCACTTAGTGTGGGAGGAGTGATAGGAGAAGTTGTTGACATTTTTAATCCAAGTGTAAAAATGAATGTTACATATTCAACCAAGCAAGTTGCAAATGGTCATGAGTTAATGCCTTCTATTGTTATCAACAAACCTAGGGTTGACATTGGTGGTGATGACATGAGGTCTGCTTATACTCTGGTAAGTTGCTCAATCATTCTATATTTTTTTTATCATATGCTACATGGATGAAGTGTCAGTCAGTTTTGCTGATGACTAAGGAAAAAACCTAACTAAACTACCTTTGTTAGTACGTTTTTCTTTTAAATTATACTTTTTAATCTATAAAGTAATATTTAAAAAAAGTTGTTGAAGATTGAACTGCAGAGACTTTCTAACTCATGGTTCAATCTGGTTAAATAAATAACAATATATTTATAAATAATACGAAAATAATCTAGTTGAACAAAGTGTGGTCAAATCAATGAGACCTTCGACTAATGGTTCATTGAAACATTATTGTGAGGTTAAAACCTGAGACATAAATATACATATGTTTTTATATATTTATACTAACACATGATGAACTTGTAGATCATGACAGATCCAGATGCTCCTAGTCCTAGTGATCCATATTTAAGGGAACATCTTCACTGGTTTGTATAATCAAAACTCTCTCTTTCTCATCTCTTTATTTTTTTATCATCAAATTCCTTTTATAAATAAACTTTGTGTCATCAAATTTTCAGGATGGTGACAGATATTCCAGGTACCACAGATGTCTCATTTGGTTAGTCTCTTTCAAAATATAACCTTACTTTGTATAATACTTTCTCTGGTGTCTTTTATTAAGAGATACTTTAGTTGACAAAAATTGACGTGTCTGATCCATATGATTTGTGAGAATGATTATTTTACTAACTTTGGTGCAGGAAAGGAGATGGCTGAGTATGAGAATCCGAAACCAGTAATAGGAATTCATAGATATGTCTTCATCTTGTTCAAGCAAAGAGGGAGACAAACAGTGAGAGCTCCGAATTCTAGAGACCAGTTCAGCACAAGGAGATTCTCTCAGGAGAATAACCTTGACTTACCTGTTGCTGCAGTTTACTTCAATGCTCAAAGAGAAACTGCCGCAAGAAGGAGATGATGATCAATTCCTAAAGCTGCAGAAAGATGAACTGCGGTGAATAAAACTTATTATATCTTAATTTGATTTCTTTTCCTATGGTTTTTCTGCGGGTTTGTCATATTTTAATAAAGATAAATTTTTATTGAAATCTCTATCAATTTTCATTTGTGTTTGTCTATTTCTTTGGAGGCAAGGTATTGAGAATCAGTTTGAGTATGCGGCGGTGAAGCAACTTTGAAGACATTTAGACATAGTGAGAATAACTTCTCTTGCTAAATCTAATTGTCCTCACATCTGCTACACTGTCCAGTTGAGAGATTTTTTGAAAATGTTGATGTTTTTACGAGTGTGTCGCAACCGCAACTATAATCTTTAGTTGTGATTGCTATAGTGTAAAAGGAACCTTAGAGATAGTGTGCTACACCGTCCAGTTTGAGAGATTTTAGTTGTGATTGCTATAGTGTAAAAGGAACCTTAGAGATAGTGTGCTACACCGTCCAGTTTGAGAGATTTTTTGAAAATGTTATCTTTTTGCAAGTGCATCGCAACCGGGTAGATGCAATGCAGTTTTTAGTTGTGATTGCTATAGTGTCGGTTTTTGACACGGACACGCCTTTTTTGATAGGTGTCGGTGTTACAGTTTTTAGCCGGGTAGATAAGAAATAACATTTACAAGATAGAACAATCCCTTTAATATTCATATCATGAGAAATTATATATAAATGGAAATGAAGGACAAGATATATGATTGCTCAATTATATTGTCTTCAAAAAGTGACTTGAGTGGTCACAGAAAAATCCAAGGTACCAGATGCACAATTCCTAAAGATGGCTGAATCTTCTATTCACATTCACTGTGACTTAAGTTTAAGTTCAAAATTATTCAATAAATTTGACAGTTCCATGTAACCTTGCAACCATATTATTTTACAGAAGAACCTCTTACTAATACTAATCTGATACATACTTGCCCTATTGAATCAATCAAGCATTTATTTCTGAATTACATTGATTCTCTCTGCTGCAACTTCTTCTACCCCAAAACATATTCGAACATGTCGTTTTCACCAGTTTTGGTCCTTCCATTTTATCTTGATCAGTAGCCGAAGCTTGTGAGTGACGGGGAGATTCATCTTGAGTTTCATCTTCCCGGGGTTCAAATGGTGGACAAGGACCATCGTTACAGGTACATAGAGGAATTGCTACGGACGGAAACGGTGTACATGTGACAGGACAAAGCATCTCGGAAGAAACAGAAGCTACCCGGTTTCTTCGAATTTCCGGTGTAGTATGTGAAAGAGAGGTTTGATCTATGTCGCGTGGATGCTGCATGCAGGGAGTACACATGCTGAGTGACACGTGTAGTTTATTTTCTTTCGGTTGGAAACTCGGTAACTTGACAAAAGAAATGATTCCATGTCGACAAAGAGGACAAGGGATGGAACCAGGAGGGCCTTGCATTTCAGAAGAAACATTGGTTGTGGAGCAAAGATAGAGTGCACATCTTACGCAAAGCTCATGCATACATCCTGCGTGGAAAAATCTTGAGATCAGTTATTACTAAACATGACCGCATCTTCTATGAACTCAAATTTAAGCTTGTGCGTGAGCATTTGACAAACAACTTTGATATTCAGAAGTTAGAAATCGAGTACCTTCTGCCGCCACTGAACATGGCTTCTCGAGGCAGACAGCACAGAAGTCAATCTCATTAGAGGAGGTTGTCGACGGTGATTGCAATCCACATTCTCTGCAGTAATTCAAATCAATCTTACTTCCATTTGCATTAGAAGTTAACAGAGAGAATCAATATAACAGGATTTCACATTTCTAAGATTTAAAATTGATATTGGTATGTTCGAGTGTTCCTGATTAGAAAAGATTAATAGATTTTGCCTTTAAACTTGAATTTTACATTCAAATTAATCGTTCAACTCACTTTCATGTGAATGTATTTGAACGAAAATCATTTTATATTAACTCACTTTTAACTGATATCAATTCAATCAAAATGAATTTCCGCCTTTGTAAAACCAAACACATACTCCACCTGTTTCGACCAAAAAACGATTCAGCACGGGTACAGACTCGGACATAGTCACAAAGATCACACAATTGTATGATCCTACAAGCTGGATCTTGATTATGACTAGCATGATACACATCTATTTCACACATCTTCCCAAAACTCATTTGTTGTTTCTTTTTTATGCTAGTTACGGTTCCCAACATTTTGCGACATTATTTCTAGAGCTGTCCGATTCCTTTGTGATTTCATTATCTAGATTTATTGACAATAAAAATACCTGGCTATGTTGAGCACGCTCATCAGGGGCAGGGATAAATAGTTTGAAGTGGGGAATGATGACACTACGGTATCAGAACTGGGTGCCAGCAACGGTTCAAGCCAATGACGCCCCCACATCCTAGCAACATCAAGTGGAAGCCACCTGAGGGAAAATTCAAATCGGTATCGCTATGTTTTAGAGTAAGCAAACTTTATACTTTAACTTCCACTCACAGTATCTTACCCATTGCAGTTCAAAGCCATTCGAGTTGCACCTTTTGCAAGGAGGATCTGAAAAAATAACAGCACTATTAACAAATCCAAAGCATGTTTTTACACACACAATAAGCTGTTTTTCTGAAGAGCTTATGGAATAAGCTGAAAACAGCAGCTTATGAACATGTCATAAGTTATTTCTATAACCGCTCTCAAACAGTTTCACAAGTGGTTATGTAAGTGTCAGTAGATAAACTCAAATAAGTCAACCTAAAGTCTATGCAGACTCTTCATGGAAAACGCCATATTGAATATCACATGTCAGCGTTAAGATATTCTTACCTGGCAGCATTTTAAATTGCCACCACAAGCAGCATAATGCAATGGAGTGCTTCCAGCCCCTATATCAATGCGCATCGGTAATTTTCAGGAAGGGCGGGAGAAAAACAAGCACATACTTTATCATCATATTAAACAAAAGATTTACCTATTAAATCCATTGATGTTCCATAATGATATGTTGCAGCTGATACATTTGCATTAAGATCAAGTAGCAGTTGTACACAATCGAAATATCCGTTCAATGCGGCCATGTGAAGTGCAGTAATACCAGCATCAGCCGTCTTGTTTACAAACTTGGACAACGTACTGCACTGGAATGAAGTAAATAAATAGCAAGAATATAACATAGAGAAATTAAAACTGTATTGTATAGTCGGCAATGTTCTAAGTTGTAGTCTGCAATCGCAATTTCAATTGCATCGGCCGCATTTGAGAGTTACAATGAAGAGGAATTGCAGACCTTTGTTCGTTTTTCCTTTTCGTATTTGATCCATCTCCCACGTCAGCATCCACACTAGCATGCAGAGTTTCATAAGGAGCACTTGGAACGAAGTCAGCCACGACAAGTCTAATACATCTAACATGCCCACTGACAGCGGCAAAGTGAAGAGCTGTCCTCCCACTGAGATAATCTGCTTTCATAACCTGTTATTGAATCTAGTTAGTCTCAACATGGTTATCTGTTGTTTTCGGATTTAAAATTGAATTGTCGGATTTAAAATTGAACTGTCCTCCCACTGAGATAATCTGCTTTCATAACCTGTTATTGAATCTAGTTAGTCTCAACATGGTTATCTGTTGTTTTCGGATTTAAAATTGAATTTGGCACAAGAAAATTATCGGAACGAGTCGCGTACTAGGTCGCTTTCTTTAAGACGTTTCGCCGTACTGCCAAATTATGCAAAGCAGTCGAATTAAATTCGACTCCTCCAGGATAAAACAGCCCGTTCAGTCGAATTAAATTCGACTCCTCCAGGATAAAACAGCCCGTTCAAACAACTTACGATTATCAGTTGCACACTAATAAATCGCACTAATAAATCGCTCTAGAAATACACCTTTCTAAATTAGTATCTGGCACAAATAACCAGTCAAGAAAAGAAAAAATTTAGATGAAGAGAATAAAGGGAGAGAAGGAGATCAAAATTCGTGTGAATTTGTGAAATCCGATGTGTTTACTACTGAATTTCTACCCTGTATTTATAGGCAGCTAGTAAGGCTTAATTTTCATTCCCTTCAATGTGGGACTAAAATGAATCTTAATTTCCATTCCCTTCAATGTGGGACTAAAATGAATCTTAATTTTCATTCCCTTCAATGTGGGACTAAAATGAATCTTTTCAAATTCACTTCTATATTAGTTCTTATTTGTATTCATTTATTGTTCATTAATTGTCAACAAATGTTTCCAATTCCCACTCTAATCAATTAAAGTTCCAACATTCCCCCACTTGAATTTAAAAGAGATTTTAGAAGTACGTCAGACGTTTCTAAGGTTGAGCATAAGCAAAGGTGTCTACGACTTGAACCTTAGCGTAGCGAGTAGGATTCTGATTCAACAAGAGTGACACCATTGTCTTGAACTCTATCTCGGACATCAGACCCGCACACAACCTTTCCGTAAGGTGTATTCTTGTAGCCCGTGCTTTAGTGGCCCTGCACGTGTATCCCGGTTTAGTGAATGCTCTAGGAATTCTACCTCGAAATTCCATAAGAACCGGCCTCAGTTCCACAGTCACATAGGTGAATCTATCAAGAGTACTCCTGTAGCCTAGGTACTCCCTCATACAGAGTATAGATCTCATTAAGAGTTTCTATTATCTCATCCTCTCATTACTTCAGGATTCATGCTTTACTTGCATAATCATTTTCATATTGCTCAAAACTTGTTACTACCCATTGAACCTAAGTCTTGGGATCTCCAGTCATTTAGGTCGGGTTACCATCATGAGTAACAAATTGCTTTATAGGCATTAGTCCCATCTTTTTGGAAGTATTATGGACTTTCTCTCTAGCTAATCCTTTCGTCAAAGGATCTGCTAAGTTCTCATCAATGCGTACATGATCCACTCTCACAGCTCCTTTAGAGATACAGTCTCTAACAGTGCTATGTTTTCTTCTAATTTGACGTCTTTTACCATTATAATAACGATTCTCAACTTTTACAATAGCC